CTTTATAGTCTCGCTGCTCTAAAATTTCGCAATGGGTTGGCCTTTTCATTTCCATTTTTGTTCTCCTCTGAAGTCCACATTCACTTTTCCTCCTGGGACTCCATTTCTTAGCATTTCAAATACCATTTCTTTCTTCCTTGGTCTAAGAATTTCTGAGATCACTTGGAGATTGCTTGTTCAATCTGCTTTGTTAATTTTAAAATTTAGTATATTTGCTAATTTGAACGTTTTACAAGTGATGAATGATTAATAGCATCATCCTGATAACCACTTGTCTTGTTTCAAACAAGATTCTCCTTCCTGTCAAAATATCAAATGTTATATTATTGTGTCTTAATTTCAATAACACGTTTTCTTATTGGAAGTGCTTCACATATGTTTCTTCTCATGAAGTTTAAGAAGCGGCACTATTATATAAATTAGCAGAACACATAATATGAGCAGGAGCTTTTCTAGATAACTTACATGCATTAAGTCACTTAGTTCTATAGTTCATGTGCCATAAACCTCATTTTACAAACTATTAAACTGGAGCAATACAGACATAAAAACACACTTATGGCTCTGGAGCTAGCAAGCTTTGTAACCAGGTACAATGCTATCGAGCCCTCTTTTCCTCCCAGTGTTACCCCGAAATATCTGACCAAGCCTTACAAACTCAGTGCTTGCTGTAAAAGTAATTTTCCTCAGTATTTACTAATTGGCTGCCGGTAGAAGTGTGAGGGGAAACCACCCACTGAACTGCAGTGCATTCATTGTCTCTGTGTAAAAACATCTACCTAAGGCTCTGAAAGTGAGCCTGGGTTGTAGCTGTCCATCCACTTTGTATCCTTAAAGTGAAGGTCACATTTCTATGCCAAGAACCCTTGTTTCTAACTGTGCTTTGCATTTAATTTGAAGAAAACCCCACTACTATGTAGGCTTCTATAAACAAATGAGAGAAGAACACTGAGATTTAATGTTTCACCACTTGGTTCCTATTGTATTCATTTGTACTGGTTGAACTTATCAAATCTTTACTGTCCTCTGAGTTTTGGAGACAAAGGAGGGAAATCTTTGTTTATTCATTTATGTCTCATGTGCTCACTGACCCTCAGGGGGTTTTCATCAATCCCGCATTGGTGGAAATAACCATTCTCTTACGATAACAGCTTCACACATAGTTATGATGCAACACATATTTATTTCCAAGCATGACTATAAAAATTAGAAAATAGAGGAGGAAGTAGGTCTTCAGACAAATGGAAATGATCACGACTATTCAGTCGCCAACTTTGAGGGAGCTGGCTACAATGGGGAGACTTGCTGTGCTGCCGCAGAGTTTGAGTCTTCAGCAGATACAGACGGCTCCGGAGGATTTTCAGACAGTTTTCTCTGCTGTTTATATTCTTCTAATTTCCTCAGGTCTGAAATTTGCCTTTCCAAAAATCTTCTTTGTCGTTCCTGTTTAGTCATTAAATCCTTAACAAATTTTACAAGCTACCAGAGGAAAACAAGACAGGTTCTATATTGAGGAACAGGTATGTATTGAGAGGCAAACTACCAGAGTTCTAGCCATTGATTGCACTAGGATTCCATGGACCATCTTAAAAATACAAAGTCTCAAACATTCTATTGTGGACTTACTAAATCAGTATTGCCATTTTAAAAAGGGGCTAGGCAATTGGTATGCACATTGAGGTTTTTAGATCTCTGATGAAGGACATTTAAGATATGTAGGTGAAGCAGATGCCTTCACTTGTAATGAATGTTAGGGTATACATCAAAAGTATGGATTACTTTAAGAAACAAGTTACTATTTCATTGGTTTTGAAACTTGTCTCCTTGAGTCATATGGAGATTATGCTGAAATGGGATATACCAGTACCAAAAGTTTAGCTATAAGTGGTCTGGCATAAGGCTATATATTCATATCTCCTTCAGAACCTTGGTGAGGCTAATGGCTGTTAAACAAAAATGAGAACTTCTGTATTAGGGCATTTTATTTACTTTGATTTCCTGAGAAGCTAGTGAGTTGTTGAAAAGGTAGCTATCACTTTGGGTTGGAGTGTTCACCAAGAACCAAGAAAGCTGGGTAGCAGTAGAGCATAGAAAATATCTTTTCACATCCACTGTCATATTCTAGGATCATGAATCTCAAACTGTGCTACTAGTTGGCAGCATCATCACACAGGAATTTGTCAAAAGGGCAAATTTTGGATTCCTAAACAACCAGCCAAATCATAACTTCTGTGGGTGGATCCCAGCAGTTCCTTTTAGAAAGATCTCCAAGTGATTGTGGTGCCCAACAAGCTTAAACATTTCTGGTCAAGGAAGCCTCCAAACGAGCAGCAGAACATTTGTTCTGTTCAATCTTGCAGAGTACATTAGGCCTAGAAACTGTCCTATCTTGTATTGAGTTGTATGTTTTCTTACCAAGATCCCTCACCCCTATCCACAACCCATTCCTAGAAATAAGTTCCTGTACTTGCTTGGAGAGAAATAATTATATATTAGTAGGGGCCCATTGTCTTGGGCATATTTACCAGAAGTAAATCATATTGCAGAGATTAAAGAAAATGATACTGCTTATCAAAACCGGTTTACTTACCTGAGTTTCACCAGCCTGAGAAGCTGTAGTCTTCAGGTCCTCCAAAATCCTAGTTAACTGATCTTCCAGATTCACAACATATGTTAGGACTTTTTCTGGAGTTCCTGGTTGTTCTATGTTGGCTCTCTGTTGAACAAGAACAAGGAAGTCAGTTTCCTACTTTGGGCACTGCACTGTTACATTCTGCTTCCTCAGTTGGATGATGAACAGGTTTGCGAAGTCCAACCATTTCCAGAGTTCAGCACAATGCAGTCAGCTAGAATCTCAAACGCTGAGTCTTGAGGCCACTGTAGTCTCTCTGTATTGATCAATGTAGATTGAACTGTGGGCATCAGGATTTTAGAAAGATTACCAGATGATTTTAATGTGCTACAAAGTAAGGGTGTCAAGGGTATATGTAGCACAGGTGTGTATAAAATCTTTCCATTAGGGTGTTGGCTCGGGTAAGTGATAAGCATGAATTTACATCTATTTGTAAAGCTGAAGCTAAAAAATTCTTTACTATAAGCTATATAAACAGTAGGTTATATGGAATCTTAATCTCAGTTTCCTTCTTATGAATATCTGCTGCAAGAAAAAGTATTTTGCCATTGAAGGGAAAATCATATTAAATACTTGAACCTGAACCTGATTAGTGATTGCAAATGGAGTCCTACTAGCTCTGGAAAGAACTCATGGTTGTATTTCTTCACAAGCTGTATGAACATTAAAGCTTGTTGTGACAGATCTTTGCATTCCACCTACAGAGGATGTGATTAATGGGACTGGAGGGGAATCAGAGCACATTATGTTTGCATTTTATCATCTCCAGGTGGTAGTACTGCTGATTTAGGCTGTATATCTTCTTTAGCTCATTGAGGAGAGCAAAATAAATATTTAGTGTCTAAATTTACCAAAATGGATGTTGGTATTTGCTTCTCCTAGTGCTCAGGTCTAAGGAGCCTGTGTAAGACCTTGAATGTCCTAAGTTAGGCAGCAGATAACTATTTTGTAGACCTGACAAAGGCATCATAAAAATCATAGCAAAATTATAGTCACCTCAATAAATGGAATCCTGACCATACCCTCACGTCTTCTTAAAAGCCTTAGGAACTCCTTTGATTGACTCAGCTTCACATCAGCCACATTCTCAAAGAACATGACAAAAGGAGGCATTCCAGCTGGTCCAGTGAAGTAGTGGGCCTGAGACAGAAGTGAGAATGAGGGGGAAACCGGGATTAAGAGAAGGCGATTTTTAACCTGGGAACCCTGCACAGACGTACTGTGCTAACACAGTGGCTGTCCAGAAAGAGAACTTTTGGCTCATTTTTGGGTACTGTTTGTCCACTGACCTCCAGGAAACTATGTCTGTGTTCTAGAAATGAGACTACTTCAAAAATCAGCCACCCAGAATCTAGTATGCTAGTGTCTCATCTTTGTAAATGATGGCCTTTTAAGGGTCAGATTTGATAACCTATTTTCTAGTACTTTTCCATTAATTTTGTAGATCCATCAGAGATGTCCAGCATAAAATAACTGATATTTTAGATATTTTAAACTCAATTTATTTTATTAAATTAACATATTTACACCAATTATGAAATAGCATACAGGCTTACATTTATTTGTTCTCTCCACCACCACGCTTTGTTACACATAGAATTTTTGGAGCCCACCGAAAGAAGTGTGATTCTCTTTATCATAACTCACAGCTGGAATCACAATTCTAAATCACTGTGCCACAGATTGGCAGTACTTAGTCACTGTTGTTACAGCTTTAAGCAGACACATATTGGTCATTACAATTTGTAAGGCAATAGCAAATGCATCACCACGCAGATCAGAGCTGAAACCTCCCACCAGGTTACTCGAAAGCCCATACTAACCAGAGTTAAGTACACATCACCAATGTACATCTGGGAAGCTGCAGTTTGGTTAATGCCATTTGCACATTCTTCAGGAAAGGGGTTGCGGCTCTGATACGCCATTTCATCTCAGGGAAATCCAGCCATAAAATGTACCATCTACTCACCTAAAGAACTTCTTAAATACTAACAGGCAGCCCATTTCCTATAGCTAGGTAAAATACAATCCAGCTGAGATTAACAGCTACTCATCTATCAATGAGAACCTTGTTTTTGAATAAAAGAAACAATCTTACCGGCGAAAAGTATGTTTTTCAAAAGAGGGAAGAGGGGTTTAATCTTTGTCATTATCTCACTCAGCATTCTTCTGTGTGCTCACCTTTTTTGTGACTATGAGTTGAAAAGGCTATTGTATACTTCTGGAATACAGTAAAATATTAACTGATGAGATACAATAACTTCCATATTTCTCATTCTTAAAAACTGTTATGCAAGTCATGCTAGAACCCATGTTGAATCTAAAAAGACTGGCTGAAATATAACCTCTCTTTGTGAGGGATCTAGAAACCCTCCATAGACTGCAACACACATAATTTATGTTAAGGGCGAATACAATGGAGTTGTGAAGTATCAAAACCATTTTAGCTGAGGGAATTAGGGCAGATTTTATTGATAAATTGATATTTTTAAAAACAGGACTTGGAAGACATGTAAGAATGTTGGAAAGTAAAAATGGAAGAAGACATTTCATTTAGAGAGAAGGAATGCAGTCTGAAAGTACAAAAGGAAGTGGTAGTTTTTCTAAATTTTGGTCAGACTGCTCTAGCTAGGAACATTTTGGCTTTTTCCTCAAACCATCTCCAAGAGGTTCCTAGATGTTCCTGTCTCTTTGGGGAGCAGGAATATTGTTTTTCTTTTACTTACTTTGGTATTTTCTAAGCTTAACTTTACTTTTTCACTTTTTTTTCCTTTCCTTTCCTCCCCTACTTCCTTCTTTCCTTCCTTTCCTCCTTTTGAAATCACCCATCCTTGAGCATTTTGTTATAGTAATAGAAAGTGAACTAATACAGCTGTGGGTGCCTATTCTAGTTCTGGCCTATTTTGTTCCATCAATCTTTTAGGTGGTTTTCATATCGATAACATGCTGCTTAATTCCTATAATTTCTTTGTATGTTTAGAAATCTCTATTCTAATTTATTCTAAATCTTTATTCCAGCTTTGTTCCTTTTGTTCAGATTACTTTGTCTATTTGTGGTCACTGGTGGTTCTATAAAATGTTAGTATTTTTCTCTATTCAGGAGAATACCTTATTTTGTTGGGAAGTACATTTCATATGTAAATCACATTGTATAGTATGGATAGCTTAATATTATTATTTCAATCCATGAATATTATTATTTCAATCCATGAATATGAAATGGGATTAGTATTTTGTGCTCTCTTCAAATCCCTTCATCAATTTAAAAAAATGTCATTGTACAGATCCTTTAGTTTCTTGGGGCCTTCCTCTCTAGAATAAGAGTTGTAACTGTAGATACCATCATTTTCCTAGTTCTTGGAGGAAATGTTTTCAGTTTTCCCCATTTAAGAAGGCATTGGCTATGGGATTATTGAACATAGCTTTCCATGTATTGAGGCACATTCCTTCTATAACTAATTTGTGGATAAATTTCACCATGAAACAATGTTGAATTTTATCAAGTGCTTTTTCTGCATCAGTTGAGATGATCATACATATTTTTATCTTAATTCTCTTGATATGATACATCACATTTCACCCCTGGAGCAAGTTCCATTTAATCGTAGTATATAATATTTTATTATGTACTACCAGATTTAGTTTGCTACTATTTTGTTGGGAGTGTTTGCATCTGTGCATGGAGGTTGTGGGTCTGCAGTTTTGTTGCTCCCGTTTTGTGTTTGCGTGGGAAAGCTGTAATTCCAGTCCCCCCACCAGCCACCTCCCCCAGGGTAGTCTGTAAGAAAGATTGGTCCATCACAGGCAGGCAGAGGAATCCAGCATTGCTCAAGGTCTTTGGGGCTAGCAATCGAAGGGGCAGAGGGCTCAGTAGCTGACTGATTAGCTTCCTTAGTTTCATTCTTGTGATTAACAGGGACCCGGCAAGTGCTTGCTTTCTAACTTGGCATTTACTTTCTAACTTGTATTATATTTCATGTTGGAATATTTTATGATTGGGCATTACCTTTGTAATTAGAAGAATGTATACATCATAAACTTATCTGTAGTGTTTCCATAAGGCATTGTGCTAGTTCTATAGAAATACATCCCATAAGTTCCTTTTTCAAAATGAATAGATACAAATTTTGAAAAACAGGAAACATTTTTTAAAAATAAAAATTCACTTGTAATACTATCATATTGTAATGATAATGTGGAGGAAAGGCCTGAAATTACTCAGTGAGTAAATGAAAACAGAGTAAAGCTGGGCATTTCTGCCTTCAATTGATATATCTGTTTTCATTTCATATAGTTCCCTTATTGCCTTACAACTTTGGGTTAGACACCTGCTCATCTATGAACATAGCCATGATAAGCATATAGGGAGCGTCTGTGTTATAAAACTTATTATCCCTAAATTTACATAATGTATCTCATCTCCCTTCAAGACTGAGCACCTAAAGGAGTTTCCAGGATTGGCGGGGACATCTACTTGCCACCTCTTACGGTATCCAGTTCCAGGTCCCTGGAGTGGCACCTAGAAGTTTCCAGTCATCTTCTGAAATCTGTAGCCACCTCAACTTTCAGGGAAACATAGCCTCACAGTCCACCCCACGATGAGGCCACCCCCAAGGGGGACCAATTTCCCTATGATGGGAACTGAAGCTCCCTCCTGAAAAATAGGAGGCTTTATTTCTTAGCGGGAAGTGCACTGCCCCCTGGGAAATGACCACTCTCCTAGGAACTCACACAACTAGTCATGAGATGCCTACCATGCAGACTTTAGATAACCTGCAGGACCAGCTATGCAAACATGCCAACTATGCCAAACCCCAGCTCTTGTCTTTGTCCCCCTTTTCTGTAAAAGTCCAAAGATTCAGTCAGCCCCCTGAATTCACGCTGCAAACACTTTATCTATGCTACCCAGAATGGCCAGGCTGATTTAAAAGCTGCTTTGCTGCCCTTCACCTCTGCTCATCTCCTGATTGGCATTCTGGGATGGGTGCCACGCCTGGAATGCTGAGACCCCCAGAGCTAAAGCATTTGCCCTAAAACTCAGGTAACAACACTAGCCCAATTGCTATTGATGATAATTCATTTCTTTACTTTTTTTCCTACGCATAGCTGAGGTTGTTATTAAGTGTTTTTTTAAATTGTATTGCTGATGTCTAATGATCCACTGAAAGGAACAGTCAATGCTTAAATTCTTTTCACCAATTTTGCATGCCTATCTCCAGCAACCCAAACAACCAATTTGAAGACAACAATATCCCACATAGCAACCACTGGTGAATTCCCACCATCCCATCCACCAAAGCTCTGCATCATCTCTAATGTTCTTTAAATTATTTTGTTCTCTTTCATGGTCTGAGCAATCCTGCACTCCTACATCTGACAATCTGAGCAACTTTGCTGAAGACAACAATATGCAACACAACCACTACTGTCAATTCCCATGATTCCATTCCAAAACACTGCATCACTTTTGTTGTTCTTGCTTTATTCTGTTTTTGTCCATGCTATTGTTACTTTGTCATTGTTTTTTATTCTCTTTTTGAGAAAAACAAAATAAAACAAAACATGAAACAAATTCTTGGGGTGTCTACTGCACCTTTGGCTTCACTGTCACAGCTTCATACATTGCTCTCATGAGCATACTGCCCATTCTACCAGCCCTTCTTTTGAATTCTGGGTGGAAGCCTCCATAACTGTATCTCTCTTGCAGTCCGCCTGCCTATAAAATAAGCATCATATGGATGACACCAAGGTCTGCCACCATCTGTAACCTGGCCCAGTAGACCCTGGGTGCAGTGGCCTTGGAGTGCCCAATGGATGAACTTGGGGAAATACTTACCTCTGTGACCTTCAATGAGCAGGATACCATTTGGCCCTCAGAGTAACATCTTTCTCAGAGTAACATGTTTACAGGTCCACCATTGTGTCTGCAGGAGGTGGGAGTCAAGCCAATTTCTTACATGTCTTCAAGTCATCTTTCCTGTGGTCTTTCCTTTTTTTTTTGTTTTTCTGAGACAGCATCTCGCTGTGTAGCCCAGTGATCCTCCTGGCCTCGGCCTCCAGAGCGCTGGAATCACAGGCATGCACCACACACCCAGCTTGGCTTCTTTTTCATATATTAATCATTCTTAGGACATTTAATAATTCAGCAATCTTCTTTCTTTGTACCCAACTTTGTAGATGCTTTCTTTCTGGTGAAAGAGCAAATTTTTCTTTTGCTTTTGCTCTTGCTCTTGATTCTCACTGTAAATCTTGCTAAAGGTGATGATCAATACCCATGCCATAATCTGAACATTGTAGGCTATCTTTCAGTGTTCTCCACCATATTAGCCACCACCTTTATATTAGGCCACATACAAAGTCTTAGGATATGAACTAAACCTAAACAAATTCTTTCACAGACAAAACATGCATGCCTTCTAGTTAAATTTCTAAAACAGAACTCATTCCCATCTGAAACTTTTATGAACCTGACCTTCACTATCCATCCACCCTTAGCATTCATCCATCAATGTCTGCTTACATCATTTAGGGCTTCTCTAACCCACATCTACAGAGCTTTTCAAACTCCCCTGACAAGCCTGTTCCAAAGCCTTCTAAACTGCGTGGTTTGGTATAGTCAGTCACACTAACAACTCCAGTTCTGTGGTACCAGTTGCATGTATAAGTCACCTTCCTGGCACTGGGAGAAAAATACCCAATACCCACAACTTAAAGAACAGGTTTATTTTGGTTCACAGTTTCACTGGATTCAGCCTGTGGTAGGCTGGCTCCAAGCCAAAAATGGCATGCTCGAAGACAGCTGCTCACCCCACTGCAGCTCAGAAGCAGAGAGGGAGAAGGGCTGGGGACAAGGTCATGCTCGTAATGGCCCATCCCCTCTGATCCAGGCCCCACTTCCGAACACGAATATTTTGAGGGACATTTT